TAGATTACAAATAGTCAAAACACAAAAAAATACAACCCGAGTTTGTATTATTTAACCCACAATTGGTACCTGTTTAAGGCATTTTTAAGGAAAGATGCTAACATGATAATATGATGCTGTCCTAAGAAAATTATTTGCAAGATGATAACATTTATAATCTTGTTCCATTCTAGAAATGGAATGGGGATATGGCTCAGTAGAATAAGTGTTTGCCTGGCAAGTGCAAAGGTCTGAGTTCAATCCCTGGTTCCACCAAAAAAAAAAAAGTTTACCTACAGTCTATTTTTTTTTTGGCCTATAGGGTCTGCTCTGAACATTTTGGATAATCAGAAGGAAACTGCTTTTTTTTTTTTTCAAAGTTTTATTGATAAACAGATAGCAATGAGACAGTTTCAAATCAAATCGGAAGTACAGTTTCAACAAGTAATACATTTAATTAATTGGGGGCCTGGCCGTAGCTCAGGCCTTTAAGTGGCTGCTTCCACAAAGCTGTCAGCCTCAGGTTGCTGGAGTTCGAACCTCACACCTCTCCAGCTGGCCAAAAGTGCCCTGAAGGCATTCGAGGAACAAAAAAAAAAAAACCTTATTCCATTTTAGGGCTGGTGAGATGGCTCAGTGGTCTAAAGCACCTACTTAGAACAAGCTTAGCAAAGCACAGGGACCGCAGTTCAATCCCCCAGCACCACATGCTAGCCAGCCCCGCCCCCTGGTGGGCTGAGCTGGCCCCACACAGACACACACACACAGACACACATTAAAAAAATATATATATTAAAAAAACAAACAAACAAATAATACACTGCATATATTCTTCTTAGTGGTTAATTGCTGTGGAAACTGCTTTTTAAGTAGAATTGTACTAGACTTTGAGGAAGTGAAAAGTTGCCAGTTTGTTTTTTTTTTTAAAAAAAAAGATAAACAGGTGTGGTGACATATGCCTGTAATCCCATCACTCAGAAGGCTGAGGGAGACTGAGGCAAGAGGAACACTGTGAGTTTGAGGCTAGCCCGAGCTACACAGTGAGAACCTATCTCAAAACAACAAAAACAAGATAAAGCAGGTTCCAAGTGGCCATCTCACAGCTTCATTGTTCTAGAAACAATTAAGCAAGGCTCAGTTAGAGCGATCCTGAGTTCTGTGAGACACACAACAGAACGCTCCTGACCTAGAAGGCACACATCACTGGTCCTACTGAATTTGGGATCTACCATAATCATTCAATATGCTTTGCTCTCTACCAACCTTGATATTCTGAACCTGGATATTCCTCCCTAGCCAACCACTGGCCTTTAACTTTATTAGTTCATTTAACAGACACATACTGAGTATTTTTTAGATACTCACCTGTCAGTACCAAAACCAACTGAGCAACAAATCACAGTCTGTGCTTGCCATTGATGGTCCAAGATATTCTGATCAAGAAAGATGTCTTTGTTTTGTCTGTTATACCAGAAATGTTTATCACACTAAGCTAGAGTTTTTTTCCCTGAGAACAAACGTCTCGCAAGTATAACTAGCACAGAATTGTATTAACAACTTTACAAAAAGAACCATATTTACCATGCGTTCAGTGGCTGTTACACTGATATCGGGAAACTTACTGTCTGGGAGTGTCTGTCACCTCACCTGGAATGGCAGGTTTCCTTGCTACCGCACAGCTGCCTATAACATGCTTCTGAGCCTTTGTGAATCTCACACTTTTCCTTTCAGGCTCCATTCTCGCAATACTTGTCTTTTTATTTATTTATTTATATGTGTGTGTGTGTGTGTGTGTGTGTGGCCAGCTCAGCCCACCAGGGGGCGGGCTGGCTGGCATGTGGTGCTGGGGGACTGAACCGTGGCCCCTGTGCTTTGCTAAGCTTGTTCTAAGTAGGTACTTTAGACCACTGAGCCATGTCACCAGCCCCTTGCAATACTTTTCTATCTGACCTTTCTTTCTCCTCCTATTCCATATAGTGTCTGTGCATTCACATTGTGATGACTATCCTATTTCCTTGTTTAGAAAACTCCAAGCATTTCTCCTTCCCCATAAACTCCAGTGACTAACAGAAACTCTCCCCATACTCTGTTTCTCCTTATTTATCCAGCCCCACCTTTTATGACTCCAAGCTGTAGTACCTCATACATCTGGAGCCCGACTCAAGTATTTGCTCCTGCAGTTCTTCTGGTTGCAAAAACTATTCCTTCTGCAGCCTCGGATTTTCAACTAGTCAGTTGCGAGGCTGGGGCTGTCGTTCAATCCCAGCATAACAAAAATAAATAAATAATAAATAAATTCAGCTCTTTTTACTGAGGACTTCCCCAACTGCTATTGCCCACAAAAATTTTCTGAAATTAGAGACTATTAGCAGCACACTTCTTTAGGACTTAATTACATACTTACTGTCTTGGGGTGTCACTAAACTGATTACCCTTTGCGACTTCTTTTCCAACTAGATGAACTCTATTCAGAGCAAAGCACCCCAGCTAATGTTGCCTTTGTGTCTCCTACTCTTAGGCAGTTGTTACGCATACATTTGATGCTTAAGAAAGTTATGAATGACTATTACAGCTGACTCTGAACACATTTTGTCTCCCTTTCTTTCTCAGCTATCACCTGCTTTCTTAAGTTCTGTTTTTCCCATCTCAGTGTTTTTCAAACCTTTCCACCTCAAACAATGGGAGAAAACTTTACATCTGGTGACCTGATGTATCTTTTTTTTTGGGGGGGGGACTGGGGATTGAACTCAGGCCCTTGTGCTTGCCAGCAAAGCGCTTATTCCACTGAGCCATCTCCTCGGCCCCTCTGATGTATCTTTTTATGTTTGTATGCATATGCATAAACACAGACACAAAAATGTAAACATTTCACAAAAAACAGTACAGTTACTTACGCTACACAATATATTCTGATGTTTTCTATTATTTTACTTATTTATTTATATAATACTGGTGATTAAACCCAGGGCCTTGATATTGAGCTACTTCCCCCGCTATTTTAAAAACTTTTAGATAGCATCCTGACAAGTTCCTCAGGCAGGATTTAATCTTGGCATCCTCCTGCCTTGGCCTCCCACACAAAGATTACAGGTATGCGCTATGATGTCTGAGTTCTATTTTTTTTTTTAAAACAAACCTTATCATGATACGCTGAAGGGTTATGACTATAGTACAAAAATATTCTCTAGGGCTCAGTGGCAAAAGCACCTGTCTGGCAAGCACAAGGTCCTGAGTTTGATTCCTAGTTTAAAAAAAAAAAAAAAAAAAAAAAAAGAGAGAAAGAAAGAAAAAAGAAAACAAAACAACTCCAGCTACTTTGTAGGCTGAGTCAGGAAGCAGGAGGATGAAAGTTCAAAGACAGCATATCAAAACCGTATCTCAAAACTCCCAACCTACCCTTCTCTGATCTAATAGTCATATATCAACAAGATGTATTCAAAAAAAAAAAAAAAAGAAAGAAAGAAAAGAAAACACTTAGGACAAAATACCCGGCTGCTCATTTTGTTTCTGACAGTTGTACCTTTAAGTACAATACAGTAGTTATCCTCACATCATTTTCTACCACATTCTGCCGTAGCACACACACACCTTTCAAAATTTGGGACACAGTTAAATAACGATGCTTGAAAGAAAGAGCAGCCACTAGGCTGGGGGGGAGGAGGGTCCTGTCTTTTTGAGACAGGCTCTCACTATACAGTTCAGGCTGGCCTTGAACTCACAGTGATCCTCCTGCCTCAACGCCTCCAGTGTTCGGATTAAGGTGTGTGGCACCACAGCCGACCCAGACTGTTTGTTATCTTGATAAATTTTAGTAGCACATGAATAAAAATTTCCAGGCCTAATTTGTAACCAAACCACTTACCGACGGATAAAAGTAGGTACAGTCAAGTGTATTTCTCCACGTGGGCTAGAAGCATGCACTCTGTGGCCTGACAATGCAGAATAGGAACCCCAGCTTTGCCAAATTACTTGTCCTGGGTCTCCACTTCCACATCCATGTTCTTGGACAACTTACTTGAAAGGATTGAAAGGGGTAAAATTAGAGCAGGAAGTCCAGCAAGGTGGCACATGCCTCTTAAATCCAGCAACTCTGGAGGCAGAGGCAAGAGGATTGCAAATTCGAGGTTGGTGTGATTTAGTGAGACCCTGTCTCAAAAAGGGCTTAGGGATGTAGCTTAGCGATAGAGCACTTGCCTAGCTCTAACAAGAGGGAAAAATGTTCAAGTGCCCAAGTGGAGTTTAACACAGGCCCTTGGACACAGTGCTCCACTACATAGTAACAGCATTTTGTCACTATAACAAGCAAAGTTATCTGGAATTTTAGTGTCATAAAGAACAAAAATAAAGGTTACTTTTGAAATATCTAGCTTTTGAAATTGGATGATTTATAATATAAAACTCCACTGCTGGTTTTATAGATTCCAAATACCCTGAAAGGTTCTATTTCTGGTGCTGGATAACGGTTATATAATCAGGAATGCCTATCAAAACGAAAAGTCTGATTATACATAAGCAACGACTTGCCTAGTCATGCTAATCTAGATTTAGATTTGTTTTTGCTTAAATTTTAACCACTAACGTCTGAAGTGTGCTTTAATGCACCAAAAATACTTGCACACAAAACAGACACATAACACAAGATATAAATGGGGCTGCTTTTGAGTAAAGCGAAGCTTTGCTCCTGCTGCTTTTATATTTCTTCTTACCTCGTCATACCCGCACTTAGATTACCTCGGCCAAGCTACTTCTGGGGTGTTTCCGATTGCTGGAGTTTGGCCATAAAAGCAAACAACTATCCCTCCACAGAAAGCATTTTTCTTCTTGCTGTCCAGTTTAACACAGCAACATAAATATCTCGCCCATTCTCCCGGAAACACAGGTGCAGGCTGCACCAGGAACAGGGAACCGCAACCCTTCCCGAGCTCCACCTGTCATTACCTAACGAACGGGGCTTAGGTGTGTGTTAAGACAAGGCCCTTCACAACGCCTTAGAGCCCAAACGGGGACCTCTGGGGACCAACCTTCAATCACTGACACTCCAGACTATGCGTGTGCGCGCTGGGGGGCCGCGCACCAAAGAAGGCGGAGAGCCAGAAACTGACCCGCAACACGAGGCGGCGACAGCGGCGTGGGCCACCAACCGCAGGCTCCCAGCCGGGCGGAGGGCGACGGGAGGCGGAGGCCCGCAGCCGCGTGCGTTCAGAGCCGGGCTCACCCCAGCCGCCCGCCGCCGCGCGGACCCGGTTC